ACGAAGTGTGCGGAGAATAATTAGGAAACTAAAGATGAGTGATGTCTGTAGAAGTATAAAGTTGTTTCGGATAAAAATAGAGCAAGAGAGGAAATAAGCTAAAGAAATTGGTGCACAAAATCAATATTGTGGTTCAAGCCGCGAATGTTAGTGAGTGCGATTGTCGAATGAGAGTGCGCTTGAGAAAGGATCCTGTTAGTTTTAGTACTCATAGTGAGGTGAGAGACTACCGGCGACCTAGCCCTGGAACGTGGAGTGGCGAACCGCACGAGGCCCTGATGGCTAGGCGGTGGTACTGACCCGGACGACGGCAGAACAGTCTAACACCCACAAGTAAACTTCGCCATCAATGTCCCCGACTGTTTATCATGTTTTTTTTTTCAACTTCGATCCGTTACGGGATTTAGGTGCCCTATTTTCTTTGATTACCTCCCGTCGTTAGACTTGGATTGTATCACTTCTATCCGTCTATCTATCTATTGTTCATCCCACACACCAAGTGCAGAGGAACTGTTTTAAAGAATGTATGGAACCGTAATCATTAGCTTCTGCTGAATCAAAGGTGGGCGCATTCTACTGCAGTAACGAGTGGAGATTTAAACCTTCACTGTCCCTAGCATGTTTTACTTGATTAAATGGGCACGCATTTTTCCGAAGTGATGTTGTAGAAGTGTACAACAAAGGATAACCGCGCAGTCAGCTGCCTCCGTCAGTGTCCATTCCGGAACACGCACCCCTGCGACGCAACTGGACACAGTAGATGTTCAGTCACTCCTGACGAACCTTATCGGTCTAAACTTTGGAAACATAAACTATTACATTTTTCTTTAAGGAATAACATAAATTTACCAACGTAAAAGTTGAGTCGTCCGGACAGAGGAAAATCGATTCGCTGTATGGTTGGTTGCCCTCCAGGACACCACTTGCGCCATTTTTCGGTTAACCGCTCAGACGAAATCTCCTTCGGTTACACTTTCCCGAGCATAACTGTATTCAGTAACGACATAAGTTGTGCTGCCTGTTCAAAATAAATCGGTTGTATTTGGTTCCATGGTACTTTTAGCGCATTACGGTATTCACAAGTGTCATAATAAGTTAGATTCAACCATGGCGTAATTTAGTTTGACATACGTCTTGCTTCCCAAGCATCTGGTAATCGAATGGCAGCAAGCTGACGCTTGTTCAGTTGATTTCCTGACCCTCTTCCATGATCTTGCCCTACTCTCCTCAAATAGTCAAGTTGTAGCGACCGTGTTCTTTAGTGCACCATGCATGTTTTTAACACTACTATTACGGAAATCGCTCAACCCAAGTTTTGACAGACTAGGTCTTCCAACGTCATCAGATGTCGGTTGCAGCAAATTCAAAGGCATAACAGAACTGACCGGAAGATGCATGCGGTAAATTTTACTTTGCTGTAATAAGCTAAATCGCCAGTGACACAATTTAACGAGAATGGGGATTCTATTGAGTTGTAATTTGGTGACATGGCCAGAGCACAGACTCGAGTTTTCTGTTATTGTTTTTCACTCATTCCTATGGACCGTCATTCTGGTGAAATCAGAAATGCGTGCTCCGTCCTCTGGACAAGGGGGGGGGGATACAAGTGTTGATCAGATTCACACAACATGATTTTCATTTTGGAAATACATTTTAGTTTCCAGTATCCTACGTAGCCATTGGTGGTGAGCATTTATTCCGACTTTAGTCCCCCACCACAGTGTTCTTACTTCTCAAATATCAACGTTTTCATTTGCATGACCTTGAGTATCGCAGTCATAAATTACGGTTCAGAACTGGGTTACATTTTATGCAAGCAGCACAGAAGTTTATTCTTTCTAATAAATGATTGGTGTTTCGTGAGGATATTTATTGTGGTAAGTACGCATCTTCGTATTTGCACTTTTTTGAATTTGGTGAATAATCCGATTAGTGAGAAGTTTCTATGTTTGAAAATTTGATAAATTATATAGCTATAAACCAATTGCGTAAAATACCTCATCCTGAAAGGACTATTGTAAGAAGTATAAGCAATGACCTCTAAATTCGACCTTGAGGTGTGTGGCTCGTTGAACCCAAACCGGATAGAACATCCAAGAAATTTCGGCATATAGTTGAAGCCGACAGATAAATTGTTCGAGAGGCGCATAAATCCTATGTCTCAGTTCCAGAGTTGTGCAATTGCTTCGACGTTAACATAAGCCCAAGTTATCGCACCATCTACGGAATTTCTCCGGTTCTATACCACTCCTGACCTAGCGGGGGTTTAAGTTGCCGGTTACCATCGCTGAACAGCAGATTCTCGTGACTATGGGGATCACCCCGTCTGCTGTTCATCACATCGAAAAAGTTGGGTTTATCTTACTGCTGGTTAATGGGCAGTATCGCAGGTGGAGGAAGCGGATCTACTGACCTAGTTTTTCAATGAATTTCGTTATACTTGTCAAGAGAAATAAATTTCCATTCCGCCCACTGAGTTATAACGGAAGTAGCTACTGGGCTTGTTGTTATCCTGTGCATGCCACCCTGGATTTTTTGCACCGATGAGGTACGTTTTCTATAATTGTCACTCAAAATTCATCCATGGGAGTCAAATTTTACAAGATAAAGGTTAATTTACCTCCTCAATCGAGGTTGGTAGTAGGGAACAATTAAATCTCGTTAGATATTTTTTACATTTATGCAGTTTCTGGTTGGGTCAAATCCAATGTCGAATTCATGCTCTGCCCTCGAGATTTGAAAATAATCGATAACATGTGATCAAAAAACAGAACTAAGTTAGCTACCTCGACAGTGGTAGTCAGTTGCCAGGATGTGACAGATATTAGAGAAAACTGGCAAATGCTGTTGCTCAGTCAACTTGGTGGGTTCCATGCAAGAAACGACTGCCTCTAGTACTTAAAAATGAACAGGGACGAGTAGAATGTCAACGAAATGAGAGTACAATACCTGTATCAAGCCAGTCAGTTTTAAAAATCAATTCTGCTTTTTACTGAGGCTTCGTTGTTTCGCAACTGATGCACTAGCAACCGTCGTCGAAGTCGTAGATTTTGTCATTCGAACGACTGAAGTAAAAACGTAAGTGAATATTATTACAGACACGTTGCGCCTGATGTGAGGCAATATCATTTTCAATCCCCTGAACGAGGCTCGAAACACTATGCGTTCGGAGGAACATATATGGTGAAAGTCAGGGTGTTGCACGAGTTTTATCAATATCTGTAATCAGTAACATCCACGGTCCAGTGAAATTCAATCATTCTTTGTCATTGATCTTGAGAATGATTTTTTTCGGATGACAGGATTAACATAATTTTATACTTCCCTAATAAAAATATGGTTTAATGGATGATAGTCTCTTCTCTTGTCGATAGTCCCTTTCTGCGATCTTTTATAATCTCTTATTACATATGCTTATTAATAGCGAGCTTACGATTAACCGTATCCCCGTTCACTTTTTCATCTTATCGTGGATGAAGGGAACCGCGAAGGTGTTACAGAAACCGTCTGAATCCGTGGAACCGGTTGAAGTTGGTAAATTGCGACCCTCCGACTATTTCGGTAAGTTTTTTCTTCATTCGTGTTCATATGGGCACACGAACGTTTCGTTCATTATCACCATTGTTATCCCAATGATGCGTTTCTGTCTCCAGTGCTTTGTGTCCGAATAGTTGCTTCAGATTTCGACTTTCCCTCGTTGATGCTTACGTCAGCAGTTGTGCACACGACCAGAATTAGCTTTCACCTGTACACACCGTCTCCGCGGTAACGTTGACAAGACAGCACATACTGTTGTTACTGTACCTTTTCGGTATCCACTTTCAAGAAACTGGAATTCGTCTTTGGAAATAAGCTCATCTTAAGAATTTTCGCATTCCTGCGTTTTACGTCTCTTTGTTATTCCCATGTTGTCAGCCATCAGAGCCTCACCAGCCGGGAATTCAACGCATCTCTAGACTGTGAATAATAACCGTCAACCAATCTACCGATTTACCCGAAACCCCAGTGTTCAGACCATATACAGACGCAGTGTGATTGACGCGTTTGAATCAGATACACGTGCGGTCAGTATATTGGGAGCAATAATTCTTTCAGTGGTTGTGGTTGTTGACGTCCCCGTACTGCATGCCTGTGCCAGTGGGAACGATACGTGCACACACGTGTCCACTGGTCCGATGTGCGATCTTTTTTCGTTCAGTTTTTTAACCAACAAAGCCGTAAATGCACGCTCGAATCGCCGGTTAGCTGTGGCGCAGCGCTTATCGCTTCCACATTTACTGGTTGGTCTGCTTCGTTCGGATCGAAAGAAGGACCACACTCCACTCGTGTTCTACTACCTGAAGAGACCCAGTGCTCATTGTCGTTATCGAAAGTCGATAAAAACAACCTGGAAATAGTAATCTGCGCTCTTTTTGTGAAACGTAACAATCCTGCCAGAACGTTGTTTCCATCCTGGTACGAACTGTTGAATGTGTTTCGAAGTTTGTTGGCCAAATCAGTGATTTTTCGTAACCTTTTGATTTCCTTCCTGTCTCATATTAATAAGGATGCAATAATTCAGCGGGATAAGGGAATGGATTCATTCGATTCCCCCAACGGCCGAATAGTTTGAGTTCCATCTAATGATCACTTTATTCATGGCGTCTTTGTGCTCTGAAATTTTTTTTTGCGTTGGAACTACAGCAAGCGGGAATTAAATCTAGGCGGGTTGCCCCCATCCTCTTAACCATAGATCATGTTACTCAAGCAATGATATTTTCCTTATCTGACCGCAGGTTGTTCACTTGTCGTCCTTGGAACATGATGAAATTTGACTATCCTGATGTGGTTCAAGGATTAGCTATTACAGATAATCTTGTTCCTATATTATATGACTAGGTACATTCATCAGTATGATCACATTGTCCGTTCTAGTTTCCAAATGCACCCGAGGTAAAAACACTGCAAGTTTGGATGCAGCGGGTGACCGGGGTTTAGGTTAGGTCTCCTTCGCTTAACCGTAGGTCCTCGTGACTATGGGGTTTACCCCATCTGCTATTCATCACACAAGAGTGTGTAATAAAAAGCGCTATGATCCCGTTTCATTGTCTTGCAATAGATATGTACACCATGAAGGCTTGTTGCATTTTGTGTTACAGAATATCCTCAGGAACATCGAAACTTCTCACGTATTATATTTTCTCGTTTGGTAAACGTTATTTTCATGGCTCAGGTGAGATCGCCTTGCTACTTGATCGTCCTCGAGCAGCCACAGTCGTTGCGCAGGGTCCGTTGCGTTGTGTCAAACTCGACCGCAAACGATTCGAGCGTGTGATGGGTCCGTGCTCGGATATTTTGAAACGAAATATCGCCAAGTACAATAGCTACATTTCGCTTAGTGTTTGAATGTTGTTCGTGGTGAACGGTTTTCTGTCACACTGATCCATGTATCTTGGCGGTCTGAAAAAAACCGTGCTACTCTTTCCATCTCTATCTCACTTGGTGTATTTAAGTGTTCCCTGTGCTTTCCGTTCTTTCCCGTTTTGTTTGAAACACAGTCCCCTCAATTTTTAATACTGTGCTCCGCCTTCTGAGTCCTTCTATCATTATGTGCACGCTCATGTGTATAAATTCGGAGAATAACACGCTTCCAGTTATTGTTAATGATCTACGCATATTTACCCCAGTTCATCATTCCCGGGTTTCCGCGATCCTGTTACGGCAATTCTCTCCTCTTTCACTTGATCGATTTTCTTTTCCCCAGCTTGGACATCAATGCTTTGGTCTCGTACTGTCTGTCTGTACAATCATGCAATGAAAATAACTGAACGGACGCAGCCCTTGAGAGGTATTTTAAGTGCTTTCTTCCCCTGCCCGATTGGTGTCTCCCATTTACTCCTTTTTCGGAAATCCGTTACGTCTATCCCCCCGCCACGTTTGCTGCCTACCCTTGATAACGTGACCTTCGTCTGGTATTGTTCCACTTGGCTGCGTATTCGCTTGCACTGTACTCAATCACATCGTCTCCTTGTGTTTGCTCGTGTCACCTAACCTTGTTCAGCTTGGTGAGTTTCGCGACCAAATGAGTTGACTGTTTTCCAGATCAACACCTGGATACTTCTTCCCGCATGCGGCCACACACTTTTTCCTTTCTCAAATAAACCACAGTTGACCTATTCCTTGAGTGCTGGTTATGAGTATGTAGCTTTTAGTTCGATAACAGAGCCTTTCCCAAACAGGTGGAATTTATTTACATCATTTAAATTGGTGTTTTCGATGCTAGTAGTATATATTGTTTAAAATAGGAGAGCTGAACAGTTCGATTTTATATCATGACGAATTTGGTTCAGCACTCAAATGCGTTTACAGTGCTAATGGAACAGCGATGATAGGTTTTGCGCTCTTAACTTTTTACCGAACGAGTGCACTCGGCCGCCGCAATTCGACGAGAAGACTATGACATGCGCATACTTCAACATATCTAGATTACCTACTTCCGTTTTTGAGTAGTTAGGGCCAAGTTTAAGAAGTACCTTTCGCTTCACGCTTACTGCAGCTAATGTGCAGCGAATTTCCATAAATGTGTGTACTCTATTCGAACTGCGTGGTTAGTTGGCAAAGAGAAGCCTGGCAATGAGCAGGTGCTAATTATACCACTTTGGCAGTGGTCTTCGGATGTGAGTCACAACTAAAGAAATCCAGTATTTATGTTGGTGCTGAAATGACGATGCTGGAACACAACAAATACATTCAGAAACGTCCTGGCTCTAAAATCTGGTGAGTTTGTTAAACTTACAAATTTGAACAGAGAATTCAGAAACATGGGTTTGCACAATGTATCTATGGTCATTTCGCTGCATCTGTACACGTGCATACTGCAGTCCAAATGATTTTTATAGTCAGTGAGATAACAGATTTGAGAGAAAAAACAAGATCGCTAATCACAACGGACAACGCAACGCAAAAACACACAAAAAGGGGGAATGAGATAGGGCAGGGGGTCAATCAGATCAGGTTTGAGAGTGTGAATGGCCAGGGCCTCGGCAAATTTTAGTAATTTTGTGTTTGCTGTGTTGTAGATGACATGGAATGCGTGGGGTGGGGTGATACAGTGTTTTTGTTCGAGTAAATGT